ATTTTAAAAAGTTTTCAAAAATTTATACAACTTTTTTAGGTTGACCATATTTAGGACCTCTTTTGTCAAAGCTTCTGCGCCACAGGTGAATTCAAAATTTTGAAGCAAAAAACAGGCCAAAAGTTGACGTTTCACATTTTTTTCTGGTAGGTTTTACTGTTACATTCAAAAAGGCGCCTTAAGAAATATTTTAGGGTTGGTCGAAAAATGGATGTCTTAAAATAGTATCACATAGTGGTTTTCGGATGACCAGCGGTTCGATCTCCCCGAAAACCTTTTTTAATTTCATTTAATACAAATGTCATTTGTAATAACGTTATACGCTGATTAAGTAAGTGTGATTTAAAGGATTTAAAAAAAATTTATGCGTGATTGAATAAAATGGACTTTTTTAGGAAATTGTCCTAAACGAATTTCAGCTGGAGACTGAAAATTTGAAGAAAGACTCCAGAGCAAAAGAAGACCAATGCAATTCCTTGGTGAGTCTAACATTAAAAAACACATGCAAAAAATAACTTGAAAACATTTTGGAAAAGTATAAAAGTATAAAATTTTTATGATAAGGAATAAAAGATTTTCCAGTGAGTGCCAGTTGATCCAATTTGTTTTTTTTTTATAATATGAATTTCAAAAACGCCTTCATGTGTTTGCAGGAGCAAAACTTGCAAGATATGATTTGCCAAAACTCAAAACTCACAGAAGAAAATATTCGTCTCAGCCAGGAATCACAGCAATATGAAGACGTAAGAAAACTTTTTTTTTAATCAGTGGCGGTCTATGGGGGGTATAGTGTTTGTTACGTTTTTAATAAAGTGTTTATAGTAATTTTGAAGAGTTCTCAAAAAACAATTTGGTCGTCTTTTTAAAAAGTCGTCAAGTTGTTTCGATTTTTTTTAAATTGCCCCATCCGACAGCATCCTAAATCCACCCCTGTCTTAAATCTTTAAAAAACTCTGACCTTGAAAGAAACATTCAAAAATAATTAAAAATACTGTGACAAAGGCATCGGAAATAGACGAGTCGTCACAAATATTTTCTAGATGTAAGACAAGTCGACAAATGAATGTTTCAAGCAGGGGTGGATCTGTTTTTTTTCGACCCTCTCAGGGAGTCGACCCCCTGGACACTCTAAGGTTACCTCCTTGGGTATTTTTTACCACATTTTTGGCTCTATGTATAGTAACTTTGAGGGGAAAAGCGCGTAACTTTGACGCGAAAAGACCATTCAAAAAGTGCTCAAAAATTGCACTTCTAGCCTTTTTTTTCAATATGCCTGTAGCGCAGATGATTTTCGGAAAAAGAGTTCTCCTGTGTTTTGAGAGATTTGGGAAAAATCAATTTGGTCGACCCATTTTTTTTAATAAGTTCTCCCTCTCGAGAAAATTCTAGATCCACCCCTGGTCTCAACCAATGATTAACCAAAGCTTATGCAATTAGAGGTCTCAATCTGATTCTAAATTAAAAACATAGTTCTGGTAATTGAATAAAAATATCACTCGACAATCTTGTGGTATGCAGAACGAAACATGAAACACTGAAAAAACTGCAGAACTTCTATGGTGTCGCAACAAATTAAACTACCTCTTAGAATTTGGTAAAAAGTATTTTATGTTTTACCAAAAAATGGTTCTTCCAAAATTTAGGAAAAGCGAAAAATTATATCAAGTTATTAAATTTGGGGGAAAAGAAAGCACCGAAGAGAGAGCCTCAGTTTTCTCGGAGTGCAAATCTTTCGCGATATCTCGCGAGAAAGTACTCTATGCTTTTTTGCAATTTTCTTGCAAGATTTGCAATGATCTTGCATGGTTCTTGCAAAGTTCGCAGTCCATTTTGCAGAAGCAAGCAAGATTCTCCTACAAAACTTGTTTTTAATTATTTTTGCTGTTTTTGTTATGTTGGGGTTCTTTTTTGAAAATTCTGCTTGCGTCGAGCAGATACTGAGCAAAATCTCACAGCTTTTGAAACAAATTGTAAAATATCTCAAAAACATCTTGTTATTAACCGTGTACCAATTCTCTTTCCAGAAAAATAAATCTGCGATAGATGGTTGTCTTTGATTAATCAAAAAACTTTGAAAACTCAGATCAATAAAAAACAACAAATGCGCTTTTTCTAGATAACATTTTTCATGAGAAATTTTGGAAAAAGTGGAAATGTATAGTTTTACCAAAAAACATCAATCTCCTAAATAAGATTTTTAGAATACTGTAAGCAGTGTGTAAAAAAATCATTATTTTGCTGGGAAAATACTCAATCAAGGCGTACTGTATTGGAACCATTTCTTTTCTTTCTAAATAAAAAACCTTAAAAACAAATTTAGCATAAATATGGATTTAGTGCAACTAACTGATTTTACAAGAATCCCATGTACAAGTTTTTCAATAGCGAACTTACAAAACATCGGTGCTAAAAACACTGGAGAAAAAACATAAATCGTTTAATGAAATTGAAGTTGTCCTCAAGGTTGATAAACTAGAACTTACTTTTTGGGGAAGAAAATATTTTAAAAAATAAAATTTTCCGCAAAAACCATGGTGTATCTTATTTTCTCAGCTTAAATTTTCAGCTGAATTAAAAATTGCTTAAGCAAGTTACTGTGTGCGACATATGGTTCCATTAGAAGCAAGATTTATCTTTTTTTGAATTCTTTAGATTTGTCTTATTTTTTTCAGCCTAGTTTTTTTTCCAAATTCACCCATGCATCAAGTTAACAGACTGAACAGACAATTTAATTGAAGAATGAAAACTGTGACAAACTAAATAAATATTATATTTATAACAAAAGTACCTGTGATAATCAACGAACGCACAAAACAAATAATACAAAAAAGGTTCTTAAGAATTGGAAAAAAAATCTGTATTAAAAAGTAAAAAAAAATGGACGAATTTAAACGTGAAACTGAGAAACTTTAAATCTAAACAAAATTTTACCTTAAAAACATACACAAAAGAATTTGCATTTTTCGATTCATTGATATATGTTTTTATGTTACATGGTGCAACTGCATAATTGCATGTGTAATTGTTGATTTTTGACTTAGTAAAATAGATTCAATTGATAGCTGCATGGTTCTAGAAGCAAGTGTTTTTTTTTTAATTTTTTGTTTGTTAAGAATAAATTAAGGTGAATCATAAGTAGAACAGAGCCAGCAGTGAAACTTCTACAGGGTTAGGTAGTGGAAGTAGTAGAAAAATTATGTAAGATTTTTGCACTATTTACACTTCTCTAACCCTGAAGAAGTTTCACTGATGTCTCGAATTTTTTTATAGTCCTGCTTACATTTTTTCAAAAAATTCACTTGGTTAAACATAAATGCTGCTTCTAAATAAGCTTATTTCATTCAGTTGAATATAACAATTACACCGGCATGCATTTAAACAATTACAACACAGAATATAAAGGCATAATTCAATACTAACCTTAAGAACAAATTTAATCTCGAAAAAATAATTGATCTATCAATGCAAATTTTCGTTGTTTTGAATTCCGAAAAGAAAATGCAAATCTTGCAAAATGTTTTGTAAGATTTGCCTTCCTGTGCAAGAATCAAACATGAAATGCATTCCAAGTACACTAGGGAGGTACCAAATATAAGTTACAACAAACTAGTTCAATTTCATCCAAAAAATTATCTTAAAAAGTCATCGCTTCAATTAAAATGCGTTGCTGCCTTCTTCTGTTTATCAGCAACTAATGACACGACTATTTCTGTCTTATTAAAACATGAGGACGACTTTCGACCATGATACAAAAAACGTACCAGATCTAAAAGCCAGCTAAAGTCGAGATTAACTTTCAAGAAACAAGTAGAACAGTGTCTAATAGAGTAGCTCTGGCAATACTTCTGTTGATTGGCGGTATCGTGAAATTATCTTTGGAAAAAATGAGTTTTTCAAGCAAAATATTAATTTTCTCATCAAAATTGCTTATAGATTTAAGTCAATATACATCTCACGGCATAAGTTGGCGTTAACGGCTCGTTTGTTTAATTAAAATCGACAATATTGTCGCATCTTAGTTATATAAGAATTTTTTATTTCAAGAGAAAAAACATTGACAATTAACGTATTCTATTAAATTTGAAATTTGGTTTCAACAGAAAAATTTGAAAGATAATGTATTTTACTATTGAAAAACTACATAGTTCCTGCAGAATTATTCATAACAAAATTTTGTTTTCTGAGACATTGAAGTGTTCTCTGAAAAAAAAATTTATCATAAAAAGTTGGAATTTATCAATTATACCGGCATGTACTTATATATTATTAATACTATCAGAACAAAGAACACAAAGGAATATTTCAATGCAAACCTTAAAAACACAAATAATCTCAAAAAATAATGGATCTACCATTGGGACGTTTGTCATATGTCATCAAGTTTTATTATAGTTTTATTATGTTAAATTATGGTATTAAAGTGAAATTCCACTTTTAAACGGGCATGCACTTATACATTTACCAGAAAAAACAGAAAGACAAAAGAAAAACTCGAAATATCATTAAAGAATGGATCGAAACGAGTGAGTAGTGGACAACTATTTGGAAACTATTCATCAAAGTTTTCGATTGTAAGAATGTTCTACAAATGGGATGGTTCACTATAAAACCTAGAATGGTTAAAAAGAAAAAAAAACGTTGTTCATTATTTTATACATGAACATGGCCCCATTGCACAAAATTATTGGGGGATTTTGTATCATATAGCTATGTATATTTCGTATATTTATCTTATGTGTAATTTTTTATAACTACATTTTTGACTTGTAAATTTTTATCAAACAGCATGTATTCTCTAACCTCCGGGTAACGCGAAAAGAAATTTATACTTTCGTCAATAGATGCTTCCAAAAAAACTACATTTTGTAGCTGCGGACTGAGGGCATTAAAAATTAAGTTTTTTGATGCTTTGAAGGACACAATTGCTCAATCGAACTAATCGAGCATAGTTATGCTAGAAATCGCAAAAACAGCAACAAATTTTTTAAAAAAAATACTTGCTTGCTACATTTAGAAGGAGTCTGTATCGGGCTACCTGTGGACATAAGTTGTTTGCATGTTTACAGAAGTTATTTAGCTACCTGCAGTCGTTTCGTATGGTTGAAAAAATGCATCGTGTTTGCATTAACAAGGGTTGCAGAGAATCTAGAGACATGTGAACAGAAACGGGTCGGGCAAATATAAGAGCTAATATTGGAAGTAAATATAGGTTTAGCTTAGACTTTTTGTATTTACATTGCGCTCGGAAGAAAGAGTTGGAAAAAATGAAAAAATTGTCAATTTTTATTTTGATTACCTTATCTATGTAAATAAGTTCTTTAGGTTTCCTCTCGAAGTCAGAAAATGGCAGAGGACATAAATCGGCTGCTTCAAAAAGAGACGAACTTGCGGCATGAAAAAGAGATCCTGGCCGCCAAAGTAGTATTTTGAACTTTACGATAATCGGACATTCGCAATAACGTTCAAATTGATGAGATTACGTTTTTATTTTTATATTCAGTGTGAAAACTTGGAAGCTGAAAATGAAAGTTTGAGTGAGGCCAACAAACAGATTACTCAGTTAGCAGACGAAAACAGAATGGCTCAAAGACAGATTCAAAAACAGCGAGACGAAATTGAACAGATGCAGAAGGTCAGATTTTTTCCACATTTTTTCATTAAAAAAATTCTGAACGAGCCTTATCGGTTTTTGCGATTAAAACCATGGTAAATTTAGATATTTAAATGCGACTAAAGACAATTTGACAACAGGGAAAAAATGCGGAAGTTTTCGCGGAAACGCGTGGCGATTAAATATCGCCTTGCTCAGAATCCTAACATTATCTGCAATTGGTGCTACTGCAGGCAGGTTCTAAATATGATGTCAGGCAGGTTTTACCAGACGACCTCTGTGCTACGATGCACGTTTTTTTAAAAATTTTCATGAGTTTTCCTGAGAAAGAGAATTTTTTTGATGTTTGCAGTAGTTGTTAGTTTTAAGCAGGCAATAAGGAAGAGTTTTAAGCAGGCAAAAGTAACGGAATATTTGTGCTCGGGGTGGTTTTTTTTCTTCAGACAAATTTCGACTTTTTAACTAGCCATTTTTGACGGAACTTTTGATATCATTCAAAACGTATTGTTGTCTTGAGCTTAAAATTGAAAAGCTATTTCACCTGTTTTTTTTTGTAAAGCTATGGGCGTTTATAGATTGTCATTTTGGTCAATTTGCGACAACTAAAGCGCGATACATTTTGCGCTAATAATGTGTAAGCGGAGATTTAATCCGTCTTAGAAATCGTTCCAAATTGGTTGAAAGAAGGTTATTTGCCATTATCGATTTGTTACTAAGAGCGAAATCTATCACTTTATACTTAATATGGCGTAAGGGAATGATTTTTACAAAAAAAATCTCAAATTTAGAAGAAAAAAATTTTAATTCTTTTTTATAACATTTAAACTTTTCATGTTTTTACTGCCCCATAGACCTTAGGAGGCAGTTGGAACATTCAGAGCTTCGCCCTGATACGAGCAGTCTTGTTTCAATTGAAATTGGAGTTTTTTCCGCGAAACAGCTTGAATCACTCAAATTGTCTTTGAAACATTTTGTCAAACTTGTCCAAGATTTCAGCATACTGACATTTTCACAATAAAAACAATTTTAAAAAAATATATATTTCAAATCTCCGGAATCTAGCGGAGTTTTTGATTTCACAAGCTTTCTATATCTCATTAGCTTCTGAAACTTCCGCTTAACGATTTGTTATGCAGCTGAAATTATCTTGATTGGGATGGACAGAAAAATGGTAAATGGTTTTAACAAACAAAGAAGAATTTTTGAATAATTTGTAGGATGCATAATTCAATTCCCCAGTAAAGTAGAATTCAAATCTAGTGATTTGAATAGTCTCTTTTGTTTACGGCAACCATTACCATAATATCTGCCCGCCCCGACCAACTAATTCAAATAAGTATTTCCGAGAATAAGGGTAACCCTCCGATTGCGGGTAAACAGGTGATTGGAACCTGGAGAGATTAAATCTGATAAATTTACGAATGTCTCATACAAATATGCCATCGATCGATAGACTAAATAAACTAAAAATTTTTAATAACTATGTTTTTTCTCAACTAGTGTTTTTCTGAGGTCGCGCAACTTTTAAAAAAAAAATCGAAAATTTGAAAAAAAAATGTGGAAAAAAAACTTGATAGGAATAAATAAAAGTGAAAAAGTTTTTATTCCGAAGTAAACTACTGACATTGGTAACAATTTTTCTGTAAAGTTAATCGACAAAATTTTCAATTATAATTGATTAAAAATGAAATAACTTGCTACAAAAACAAGTTTAATCGATTATAATTGATTATATTCGGATTTTTTTGCTTTGAAAAATATTATCATTATGATTCATTTTTATTCAATCTTAACCGATCATTGTGTAATTTTATGGGGAATGACAATGAATTTCCAATTTAATAGATTATCTTCCATGAAACTTCGGTGCGGGTAGGATGTTGCCGATTGGAGGTTTTTTCAAAAAATGTACAAAAATTTTGTGAACATTTTTTCCATTTTCTTTAGGTCGGCTTAATTGATTTTCCGAGTGCTCACAGAACATATTAATTACCTTCTTTTGATAAATTTTTTTTTGCCTCAGGCAGAAGCAAGTTTAGGGGGGAGGGACCCCTCTCCCCCCTCAGTGATTCAACTATTTCGACCCTTCGTACTATTTTGAAATATCCATTTTTGGCTGACTGGCACTAAAATTGGCGCCAGTTTTTATCATCGGCTCCATTGTTCACTAAGTTTCAGGGGAATCTTGCGTCAAAAACAGTCCTTTTGTCCGAAAATGCCTAAAAACGCCATTTTTGGACTGTTCTTTTTTCAAAATATTCGGATTTTGGGAAGTTCTAAACGTTTTGACCGAAAAATTTTGATTTTCGGCACGCAATCGTCATCAAACTAACGCCGTTAGAAAAATTTTCGGCTTGATTGACTAAAGTGTTTAAACTGTGACCTAAGTGTTGGAATCACCAGTGTTTAAATAGTACAAAAGGAAATTCAGAACGCAGAATTTAGTAAAACAGCGCCAAAGAAGAATCAATGGGCCGAATCTCTAAGTGGGCATCAGAAGCAGAAAATAAATTTTTTTTCAGAAAAAACCTAAGTTTTCATTTCGGTTATACAGATTTTTAATTTGACTCAAGAGGTTGTTGTTTTTTTTCAGTTTTTCTAAGTGCTTTTTAAGAGTAACGAACGTAGTGAAAACTCTCATATAGGTTTTGCTGATTTTTCTTTGTTTTTTTTTCAGGAAAAGTCTTAAAAGTTTCTAATAACTAAAGATATTCATTCATTCATACATATGATGCATTTATATGCTTAGATATATATGCATTTTTTTACTTCAATTGAAAGTCATCAGCTGAAAGTGACGTAAAGAGTACTTTCCAAATACGAACGTGGCAATAGCGCAAAATATGTGAAGAATTTTTAGTTTTGAAAGTGGAATTTCATTTTTAGATTTCCCGCAAAATTAAACTTTATCTAATGGTCCAGTTTTCTTTAGTTGGGTTCATGTCATCAAAAAAGCACCAATCATAAATTGTTCTAGAAAAACAAAGAGCTTAAAGGGCATCTCTTTTTTTCTTTGAAATTCATAACGTGAGATTTTTAAAAAAAGACAGTGTTTTATTATGTTTATTTGCGTTCTTTACTCTTTTCTAATCTTCGATTGGCTCTGTTTAGTTTAATGTTGAGCAAGTAGGTATTAGTAGAAAAAGTTATTTATTCTGTAAAAAAATGTTTTCCCCATCAAAACAATTTTTTAAAGCGTTGATTAACACTTCCTTGGTAATATATTGTTTTGATAAATTCTATTAAAAAATCTTCAATTTTGTTTCTTATTGTTCCGATTTTCAAAGAAAACGGAATATTTATGCTCGGTGTGGTTTTTTTTTAGTCAATTTTCACCGATCGAATTAATAACTAACAATAAAAATAATTTAAACCCCATTGAAGATATTGACTTCCTAAGTTCAAATGTAAAAAGATAATTCACCTCCGATTATTTTTTGTCAATTTCTGGGGTTTTGAAAAATGACAAATTTGCCATATTCTGGGCTAAATTATGCGCGCTTTGAAGAGTTTATTCTTATTGCTGAGTTTATTCTTAACGCGAATTATTCATGCGTGGCGAATTATCCCGCACAACAAAAATGTTGAATTGAATTGTCATTAATTGGTCGTATTAATTTCGTACGACTCAAAATTTTCCACTTTGATATTGTCCAAAATGTATAGCTTTTAAAATTTTCTTTTCCCAAAAACTATTCGAAATGAATTAAGGGACAGTCAGAACATTCAGGGCTTCGCCCTGATATACGAGCAGTCTTGTTCATTTTTTGTACTTGCACTATTGTTCTAATATAGTCTTGTACTATTTTTCCAAGCTTTAACTCTTCTCACATTGCACCAGGTACAAAAAAGCACCAGATTGGAAAAAAGATTGGGGTTTTTGATGTGGTCGGAACTTACTGTATTATTTGCACAAAAACGGCTCTTCTTGTTGGCTTTTTTGTCACAAATTATAATACAAGTGACCATATAGTTTCAGCGCCATCACTTTCTCTATAGACCTAATTAAAATATGTTTGTATGACTTGAAGAAACTAATTTTCTTTACTTAGTTCAAATGTCGGAAAAACTACTCTTGAACTGTTTCCTAAACAAATTGTTTCCTGTTACCTTTCAGTTACACACTAATGTGGTATGGCGATCGCGGCTTTGAGCTTAAATGGACATATTATTTTTTAGCCGTTATCTTTTATTTCTGTTCTGATTGATTTCCACTTGACTTCATAACCTGCTGCGTCCTAATTCGAATCTCAGCAAAGCTTTTCCTGAAGGATTCAATCACTTGTGTAGTTTGAGATTTGTTTTGTTGCAATGTGCGTGTGCTCGTGTATATGGGGGGGGGGGGGGGGGAGGTGTTAATAGGGCGATGGGTTATGCTATAGTCGATGTCTTGGTCAATACCGCATTCTATCTGTTTCAAGGAGCGGATTCTAAGTATTCCCTTTTTTGGTTTCAATTAAAATCATTAAATGAAGTGAAATAACTTGAACAATTCACCGGATGTGAATAGATTAGTTCAATTTTCTTGTACAAATTAGTTTTTTTTTCGTACATTCCTACATGAATGAACCGAACCAATCAGACACCTGAGGTATTCGAATACCGTATAAAAATATCAAGAAGACGGCTTCGATGAAGATAACGTTCTTTTCTGCTTTGAGTATAATACATTAAGCAAAGGATTTTAATTGTCTGGAAAATCCGCGTAGACGGAATCAGTTTGATGCTAACGCTGTTGTTTTTTTTCAAGAAACAAACTATTTGAATTTTCACGAACAAACAGCTTGAGGTTCCATGTGAACATGAGTTGCTGAAATCATTTTTTGTTCATTTCTCCATAATAAATTGAGTGTAAAACTTAGTCGAGCGAGAAGTGTTAATTTTTGTTTGTTTGCCCAATCTACGAGGTGAGCAGAATACAAACTATTTTGATAGCTTTCGAATCAAATCAAGAGAAGAAAAATGGGGTAGTTCCAGATAAATTGATATTTTGAGGTGTCTTATGCCACGCCCTGCATAAT